GCTCACAGGGAGGGTAGGGGCTGGAGCTATTGGAGCTACAAAGAGCCGTTAAAGGCAGAGAGTGAAATTCAGTGAATACACGTAGTTTACAGAGATGCTGAATGAGAAACCAATGTGAGTTGCGTTTATCTTTACCCATGGATGCACAATAAGAACGGACCCATATCGTCTTATTGCCATCTCACGGAGCTGTAATAATGGATATATTGCACATGTTTGCTGTAATTCAGCACTGCCTATGGGCTGTATGATTAAATATTGTCCAGTAAATGTTGTATTGAATAAAGTTAATATTACCGACGTTAGATTAACGTCCCTGTAGCTTCTTATTGCACTAAGATATATATACACATATATATATATATATGTATATATATATACAGTGCAATAATTATTTCATGCTAAATGAAGCTCTGTTGCATACCACTAGATACTGTTACAGCGTAATATAAGTACATAACGATTGATGTGTACATTAGCATAATTACTAGCTAGCCACTAGCTGCTAACTGCCGCCTTGTTAATATCAAATCCATCATAATAACAAATCATTACCATGCTGTCATGAATGCGCGGTGCTGTTACGTGTACGCAAATTGACGTGCTTGATGTGAACAAGCATTTGGGTTAAAGTTGCGCATGCGCTATGAGCGCACATACGGGTACTTCTTAGGCATGCCGGGTAATCTGTGACGTTTCGTTCTCTCAAAAGTTGGGCCATTTTTTTATCATCATGCGCTAATGAGCAACTCTCATAGGAATTAATGAGGCCCCGCCTCCCACGCTGTATCCAGTTCTTATTATACATCCATGCTTCATTTGCGTAATCTTCCCTCAGCGACTTATTCCGGTGTAAACGCGATCTGCTCTTTAGTTCCATAGGGGAACTAAGTGCTGGGAACTAAGTACGGCAAAGCGCTTGGTGTGAAAGCGTCTATTGGTATTAATTTATAGGGTTTTGGATTGTTGTAGAAAATAAATGATGATGCAAACAAATGTCTGATACCAAAACTCTTTGTTTGGCTTTATAATCTTTACAAATTAGATTTTGTCATTGTTGGTACATGGCCTTTAATGTCCCTTCTTTTGTCTCCTTGGTGCCACTTGTAAAATCTTTATAATTCACATGACTCACATTGTAAAATATTGGAAATATCTTAACCAGGTCATACTTAACTGATTCAAAAAACCCATTGACCTTGCGAGGGGAAGTGCGAAAATGCTGACGCATATCTCGAGTTTAGTAGTCATTTCTGTAGCACGCCATTTACATGTGGCAGTAAAGCAAGATTAGCCTTTGCAGAACAGAGCCACGTGTACTGTGAGCTTTATTCTGCAATAACGACAGCTAAAGTACCTCTATGAGTAGTGATGATAATTAGCTAGGGTTTGGCACTACTATTAGAAACTTTTTGTGTACATTCTTTCTCTTTTAAGCCCAACAAACTATATTAACACACGTTTTTAAATTGCATTTATTTAAATGTTGTGTCTTTAAACTGTGAAAGTAACCAATAATGGAGATGGATAGCAGGTTAAACAAACCATAAGGAAGATTCAGTGAGCATCTGGTCTTATTAGTATGTGCTCGACAAACTGTAAAATGTTTCAGAGGAAGCAGCACATTCACTAAGAACTTCACCCCCCCCCTACTCTACCATCACTTTCTAATTTATCAGCTGTCATGTGGCTGCCTACTCCTTATTCCATGGAAGCCCCTGCCCTTTCTTATCTCACCCTCCCACTTCTACAGAAAATAACGCCCCTAAGCTGTCCACACAACCAGTGTCTATACCATGTGTGAGAGGTGATACTACCGTGCTTGCACATGCTACACTGAGTGCGCGCGTGCGTGCGTGCGTGCGTGTGTGTGTGTATTGGAGTGAAAGCAAGTGCTTGCACCAGGGAAAGGAGGGGCTGATATTGCACATTTACCTCTGTTTGCTTACAATATCGCTGGTGTTGGCCTGGAGCCAGCGCACTTTTCCTGGAAGAACATGACAGCCCCCGTGACACCTCCATGTTCACACCGCTGGATTGAAAGTGATGAGCTCCTCTCTCCGAGCACTGCTGCCAATTTATTTTAGATTAGGCAGTCACACAAGCTACATCTATAATGCATAGGTGAGGAAACATCCATTAACAGAGGCTAGCCAATGTCTTTTCCTCTGTTTTCGCAAAAAAATGAGAATTAAGTGCTCCACAAAAGGGAGGTGATAGTACAAATATGCCTGGTTAGCATCTGCACAGCTAATTATTTGTGAGCAAGCTTGTAAACCAAGTTAATCTATTGTCTAAAAAAACAAACAGAAAAGGGTTATTTCATTGACTTTTTATGACTTTTGCCTCGTAAAGTCAATTTTCTCATGAGATTAAAATGAACTATGTACAAACACTGTAAACAAAGGGTCTGGAAATCATTTCATAGGAGCTTTGGAAGATGTTGTGGCTTCTACTTCAAGCTGAAGATTAACAAGTTGTTTAAAACGATTGTGATTGATTTTCATTTTGGCATATAATCATGCGGCAACCTCTGGGTTTGAAAAGAGCAGAAATGACTAAATATTGCATTCTCTCTATTAAGCAAGCAGAGGGAAAATCCTCTGGTTGCAACAAAAGTCAGATTGTTATTATTACTGTCATTATTGTGTCTCTATTGAACAAGGATCATGCATACAAATAAATGTATCTCAAAAAGAGAAGAGATCTTTTATGCCAGCTATTAGCTTCACACATAACACATGATCTATACGTCTATGAGTCATAGACGTATAGATCATGACTATGACAATAACATTTATAAAATACATGAAAGTACAGATCTATAAAATATAAATACTAAAACTGTATTGAAGTTTATGAGAAGAATGACCATGTTTCTTAGTTGATTTATTTCCTCAGTAAACATTGTAAGCATGACTTTATATTCTTAATCCCTACTTTTAAGTATCTTTCAACACAGTATGTTCAAGGAATCTAGAAAAAAATCCAAAGTCCATCTATGTTAGGGTTTTCTACTTCCTGTTTACATTGGCAAGCAACAGCCAAATGTTCATAAAAGGTCATTTGACATGCATTCTCAGCCACCTAAGCATGGATGAAGATTTTTTTTTTAAAAGTACTAAAACACATTATTCTTGCAGATTGTTTTGGTTTTAAACAGCCTTTAAAAGTGGCCGTGCGGTATTAGCTTAACATTATGTTGGCATTGGATGTAAATGTACAATGTGAACATAGGGATACTGCCTGGAATGATTACGGACATGGACATTGAAGGGTAAAGCAATTAGTCTACAGTTGTTCTTACAACTTGCTTGTTGGAAAGCCTGCTGACTGTTACTCCAGCGCCCTCTGTTGGCGGCACGCGCAATTGTAACTATCAAGCACATGGAGCGCAGCTGTTAGGAGAAAGGGAGAAAAGCACATCATGCTAGGAGTGCAGCCTGGACCTTTAGTGGCAACTTAGTGTGTGTGAGCTTTGTGCGTCTCTGACCAACAGTAAGTTAATGTTACTCGCATGGGACTGGACAGTATTAAGCCTTTCACGGCATATTAGTTGTTTTAGAGTTTGCTAACTCAGGTTATTATCGACAAGTTATTTAAATGTACAGGTGAATACAATATGTATGAGAGTGGGTGTAACAATCTGTCCTTCTCAATATGCATGTATGTATGGTAGCATTACAGCATTCCTGTGCTTCAGAATCCACAGGCAGGTCTTCCTCATCAGTCCGTTTTTCTGGTTGTTCTTGTCTTGTTTCTCTCTCAAGTGTAACAACTCCATGTTGTTCTGGTGTATGATATCTCGATGGCACTCTATATCTCTGTGGTTCAGGTACCCTTTTCGGACCAACTGTGAGATCGCTGAGATCCAGAGCTAGGTTCAACATTCTGTGAGTGAAGTCCAGCTTGTGGGGGTACTCTTAGCCAGTATCGTACTCTAGGTGCCTCATCATCAGAGTTTTCTGAGTCACTGCTTTGTGATGTCTCTCTCTGTCGTTGTTTCTCAACATGAAGACTCTTGCTCTTCCCTCTAGGTGGTAGCGGATTTCCTGTTGGTTCAGGCAAGTTTACAGGTAGGTCATTGACAACGTGTAGGAGATTTCGATGGAAGTTATCTTGTGACGAGGTTTACAACTCCTAAGGACCCGTACTTTTTCTTTTTCGTTGACCTTCCTGCTGAATAGCCGAACCAATGCTACGTAATGTTGAACGTGGTCCGTACTCCGTTCGTCCGACAGATGTCGGGTGATGGAGTACAAAGACCCTGCCGCGTGGGCACAGACGAGGTCATCTCAAATTACAAAACCAGACAAGTCGGTTTCCGGTCTGACTTTGTTTGTGTCCCGATTACGATTCTTTACCCGAGACTCTTACTTTCTCCGAATGGCCTAACGTAGACTTTCTTGTCAGTTGTGAGGCTCAGCTCACGTTCTTTGTTCTTCATGATGCTGACAGTGTAGTTCCCCTCAACACGAGGTTGGACCACTATCTCAGGATCAGGCGTTTGAACTCACTCCTCTCCACTTGGCACCTTTTAACTCCAGGATGACCCCTTGTTTGAGACATACAGCAGTTTCTTGTTCAAACCACTTTTAAGGACACATGTTTCACCACGGGACTCTTGTCCACCCACTATTCTA